GGTCATTCAAGAGGACACAGGCATGAGTTACAAACCTGAAATACCTATCTGATTCCTGATGCCCATTTTCCACTCCCATCTGAGGAGGCTTCAAGGCTGACATCTCACTGGCAGACAGTGGGTTTGTAATCTGCTCTAACCATTAGCCTATGGTTTTCCTGTTTCTATAAAAGTGCCTATTATTAATTACCTGACGGCTTATTAAGAAAAACAGGGTCTATATAATGATTAACACCACCCACTATACAATCAAGGCCTTGAACGACTCTCAAAATAACATTATATTATTAAACACTGACATAACTCAAATGCATGAGATAGTCCTACAAAGTAAAACGGCATTTGATGTTTCAACTGCTGCACAAGGTGGAGCTTGGGCTCTCAAAAACACGAAATGCTGTGTACGTTTCCACGAAAATATTTCTGAGTTTCTAATTGACAAGTACTCAGAATGGTGCTTTAAATGGTCCCTCTCTTTCCTTTCATAAGTGGTTGAACTCCTGGACTAAAGGAAGACGTTCATCAACTATCAAAGGACTTATTTGGCCTTCTTTTTCTTTTTGTTATTTTAAAATAAACACCTGTTCTCTCCTGGGTCTCTCCACTTGGTGCCGAGACTCCTTCATGCCACAACTTCAAGCCAACAGATGATCCTTTCTGCTCCATATATTGCTGCCTTACGCTTTCCTAGCTCCTATCAAATTCCCAACTGACTTACCTCGACCCATAGGTAGGGACAGCTCTACGCCCCTATTTAGCAGGAAGACCTACGGAAGATGAGACCTTCAGCTTTCAACAACCTTAAAGATTTAAGGGTCAAAATTGTATGGCGGGGGGGGGGGGAGATGATGAGGGAAACAAAGGCAAGAAAAATGTAGTTTGAATTCCTCTATAGCCTGCGGCCCATCGGTGGATGTCAGAGACGTGCAGGGGCTAACACTCCCCACAACGTTTATGGCTGCCCCGATGCCTTAATGTTTACACTTCTTTTAAAAACGAAAAGCAACCTTATCTTGTTAATAGGTAAATCTTCAGGGTCTTGTTAGACCCTGCTTTCAGCATCCAAAAATTCCTTAAAAACTAACTTTATCTCTGCTCCCACCCCACCCCCAAAACCTAAAAGTATATAATCCGTTGTTCCTCACGATCCCAGTACAGCTCTTTCTGCCCATGGGTCCTGTCCCAGTGCTTTAATAAAATCACCTTTTTGCATAAAAAAGTAGTTAATTAGAACTATTGGTTACTATTAGTGATTAATGCATTTTTAAGATACCTATACAATCGGGACATAAAGAAATAGAAATGGGCAAAGTTAGGCTCCTTAGTGCCTTCAGTCACTATTTAGTCTTATCTTCTGCTTAACCCTTAACAGATCTTTAGTAATTGCTACTTTTTTTTAAGTTTATTTATTTTGAGAGAGAGAGAGAGAACCAAGCTTGAACTTGACTCAGGGCTTGACTTCATGAACTGTGAGATCACAACCTGAGCAGAAGTCAACGCTTAACTGACTGAGTCACCCAGGTGCCCCTAGTAATTGCTACTTTAATCCTGTGTTTCTTGAGCCCCGATTTACCTGTTGAATTTAGGGTACCAATAGCTCCTGCAGCTGCTCGCTAGTTCCAAATGATCATGAAGAAAGCGTTCTCCTCCCTGACCTGTAAAGCAATCTCCACTCAGCTTGTTTGTATCATTTATATGCTGTAAAATTCACTGTTTGAAGAGCTGAATTCAGTGACTATTAGAAAATCTCAAGCTGTGCAATCGTTTCAGAAGATGCCCTTCACCCTAAAGCCATCTCTCGTGTAAGTTACTCCCCATTTCTCCCTCCAGCCCCGGGCCACCACGAATCTACTTTCTGTCCCTATGGATTTGTCTTTTCTGGACACTGCTTTTCTTTCTTTCTCTTTTTTTCTAAAATATTTGTTTTTGAGGGAGAGTGTGCCCGCGTCGCACAAGTGAGGTTGGAGGTAGAGAAGACAGAGAGAGAAAGGGATGGAGGATCCAAAGTGGGCTCTGAGCTGAGAGCACAGAGCCCGATGCGGGGCTCGAACTCAAGAACCTTGAGATCATGACCTGAACCCAGGTCAGGCGCTCAACCTACTGAGCCACTCAGGCACCCCTTTTCCGGTCCCTGCATATAATAAAATTCATTCACTACCTGCATATAATAAAATTAATTCATACACTACATGATCTTTGTGATGGGCTTCCTTCACTCAACATAACGGTCGGCCCCAGAGCCTAGTATTGCTGGTAAGTCCCCCACACCCGCCGTCTCCAGGAAGTATCCAACCGCGGGGACTCCTGCGTCTGCTTGTCTGCTCACCAGCGTGACATTCAGATTGTTTCCACTTTTTTTTTTTGGATTATAAATCATACTTATGAACATTCACACACAAGTCTTTGTGCAGACATGTTTTTACTTCTTCGGTAGATGCCTAAGGGCAGATTTGCCGGGCTGTGCAATAAATTTATGTTTAACACCTTAAAAAAATGTTTGCTTACTTATTTATGAAAGAGAGAGAGACAGAGACAGAGACAGAGACAGAGACAGAGACAGAGAGGAACAGAGAGAGAGAGGGACAGAATCCCAAGCAGGCTCCATACTGTTCAGCACAGAGCCTGACGCAGGGCTCGAACCCGTGTACCATGAGATCATGACCTGAGCGGAGATCAAGAGCCAGACTGAGCCCCATGTTTAACACCTTTTTAAAGAGCCGGACGTTTCAAAGTGGGCTGCACAGATTCCCATCTCCTGGAGCGAGGTGTGAGGGCCCCTCCTGCTGCTGCTGTGGCAACTGCTTTCTTTCCAGAAGCGAGTCCCTTCTCCGGAGTCTGACAGGAGCCAGCGGGCAGACTCCCAGATGCAACAAGTTTCCAACAAAACCCTCACGATTCACTGCCCATTCTCCCAAACACATTTCATAGACTCCCTCACTCGTTCTGAATCTTGTCACCTGACTTCCTAGTGTTTGGTTACTCAAGAATCTTCCTGTATTTGCTCTTTGTGCCACTGTCCTCTATCCATGGTGCTCACGTGGCCTCTTATGGAATTTATTTTTCAAATATCCATCTGTCCCAACTAGACAGTAAGCTTCCTCCACTGGGGAGATTCTTGTATCCAAAGAGACAAACACAAAACACGGCAGAGTGGGCCTTAAAAAGTATTTGTTGTTGGGGCACCTGGGTGGCTCAGTCGGTTGGGCGGCTGACTTCGGCTCGGGTCATGATCTCACGGTTGGTGGGTTCGAGCCCCGCGTCGGGCTCTGTGCTGACTGCTAGCTCAGAGCCTGGAGGCTGCTTCAGATTCTGTGTCTCCCTCTCTCTCTGACCCTTCCATGCTCACGCTGTCTCTCTCTCTCAGGAAAAAAAAAAAGTTAATAAAAAATTAAAAGGTATTTGTTGAATGAATAGTTGAAGAGGTGGTGTACACATTTGGTTCACATATATACTAATTTCCATGTCAGCCTGGAAAAGGGCTTATACTTCCCTTCGGACCTGGTCGTTGAACGGATGACACAGAATAAGAGTTCACAGAAACCTGGGGGAGAAGCACAAGCCTTTCGGTTCACCCAAAAAGTTGAAGGCCTGGGGGGATGGAGTGACTCATCCAAGGCCGCCCGGATGCGGCAGCCGCTCCCTGCCACGGAGAGAGGAGGACCGGAGTGCTGGGGGACCAGGGGACACTGAGGCAACAGAGGGGAGCCGGTCTGTGGCAGGATCCTGGGTGCCAGGCCTGAGCGCCACTCTGCAGGAAAGGTGTGGACGTTCCCGAGGGGGATGTGAGACGCCCCCCTCGGCTTTCCAGCGGGTTAATGCAGGGAGAGGGCGGACGAGAGGCCAGAGAGCAGTCTGGGTGTGAAGCAGGGGGGCCGCGCCCGGACTGGAGCTGTCTGCACGCCTGGGAAACGGTGGTCTCAGTACCAGAAATAAGGCAGGTGGGGTGGACGTGCAGGGCTGATCATCAACGTGCTCCCCGCGGCCCCGGGGGCAGACGGCCTCGTGCGTCAGAGGACTGTAGCTTCTGGTTCCTGTTCCGGTCCAACACGGGCTCTTCCACGCACAAGCGAGTGTGACCTTGGGCAGATGACCTCATGACTCTGAGCCTTGGTCTCCCCATCTGGGAAATGGGGGTGGTAACAACCTCCTAGAATCGCAGGAGGATTAGCTTAGGTGATACATTTGAGGTACTTAGACCGAGCCTGCGGTGTAACCAGAGATGAGTCCACGGTGGCGTCATGGCTTCCTTATCCCGTCCTCACGTGAGTGTCAGTCGGTGAGTGTTGGGCTGGAGGCCGCACTCACTGCGGGAGCTGCGTTGGGCGACCCCCCCCCACCCCCCCACCACCCCGTTTAAAGTCCTATGTAAGGTGAAGGTTAAGTTGTCTTATCTTTTGGAGTGTGTGGGAATGTTGTAAACTTCATTGAAGTAACTTTCAAGGAACTAGCATTAAAATTTTTTTTTAATGTTTATTATTTTTGAAAGAGAGAGACAGAGTGTGAGCGGGGGAGGGGCAGAAAGGCAGACACAGAATCCAAAGCAGGCTCTGGGCTCTGAGCTGTCAGCACAGGACCCAACGCGGGGCTCGAACTCAAGCACTGCATGATCATGACCTGAGCCCAAGCCGGATGCTTAACCGACTAAACCACCCAGGTGCCCCAAGGAACCAGCATTTTTTAAAAGATGCCAGGTGTGTACAACTGGACAAGTCTGAAATCAGTCATATCTGGGTAAAAATTGATTTAGCTACAGTGCCTTGTAGGGTTTTCAAATGTCACCTGTGGGCCCTTGGGTGATCTCCCATGGGACTCTGGGGCCGCCCTGGCAGAAGGGGAAGGAAACTCCTCCTGACTAGAGCGGCTCCCCTTTCAACAAGCAATATGAGTTCGTTTGAAGAACAGGTTTCTCTTTTCTGGAAAACGCTTGTAACAGAAACATAACAAGTACGTCCCGACTGATGAGGACAACCAAATGACAAATCTTCAAAGATGAAGATAAATTCTGTATCAAACTTCAAATCCTTTAATTGGCTAGACAAATTCATGAAACAGCTTCTGCAGACTAAAAAAGAAGGAAACAAACTTCACCAGATACAAAGGCTCCACCTTTTCCACAGTGGAATGGTGTTATTTGGCATTTTTCTAACTGATACTGGTGTCCCCACCAATATTCTGGAATTCTCTTTAGAATGAGTTGAGGAAAACACAAATCAAATCTTGGGCAAGTATTTCATGCTTGTCGTTATCTGTTTAGGAAACAAAGTATTTCACAAAAGAACCACATTCCATGCAAAGTCTGTTTGTTCTGGCTTAAACATAATCATTTCCTCAGGAAGTCTGATTCAGATGAAGCCATCTTAAGAAATTCAGATCGACTTGGTCCCTGGACAACTGAATGTCATCCTCCTTTCTGAATTCCACGAAAATATTTTCAAAATTAACTTTGCCATTTTAGACTATGCCTTTAAACTCAACTATGTGTTATTTCATGGCCCTCACTGCCTAGTCAATGTCAACTCCAGTTACTGAACTTTGCATACACATGTGTATGTGTTTGTTTATTTACAGAAGTTTCATTTTTTCCAATGTGGACTTTGAATATATTTTTAGATCTGAATAAATCAACAGGGAGGAGGAGAGTATCGGACTAAGAATTCGGACTCTGGGACTAAGCTACGTGAGGTCCTGTCCCAGCTCAGCCGCATATGAGCCCTGTGACCTTCCATGGGCTTTCACTTCTCTGTGCCTCGCTGGACTTGTCTGTAAAGTAGGAATAATGAGTGTACCTCTCTCCTCAGGCAGTGAAGATTCCAGGAGTTAACACAGATATGTTAACTCAGAATAGCACCGGGCACACAGTAAGTGCCCAATAAATGTTAGCAACTGTTAACTCTTCTTAGTTCCCTTGTGTATCTAGTTGATAAAAGGTTGCTACAGAGATTATTAATAGATGAGCCCTCTTCACACAATTAGAATATAACCAAAGATATCCAATTTTAAGGCCTGGCTGGTCCTCAGTCCACAGATTTTCAGGGCTAAAGGGACGTTAGAGAACATCTCATTCAACATCTCTATTTCATGGTTGAAGACCCCAAGGCCCGGGGGGCAGGAGAGCCACCGAGCAAGGCAGAGACAGTCAGGATGTGGTTGCTCAGGACGATACTTTAGACTCTCAGAGGCTGTGGCGAAGTTTCCATTATGGGCATCAACTATCACTGCACTGATAAGCCTGTTACTGGAGCATTCTGTGCCCGTCAGAATGACAAATAGAAGCATTTGCATATTTGGAACCGTCAACAGATGAAGTAAATTTGCTTTATAACCTCATACTGTTATTTATGATGCTGACAGAAAATGCTTGCACCTAGGGTGTTTCTCTGCATTTCCATGTCAGATATCCTTTGAGAGACATTGTTTAGTTAAAGCTGTAATAAAAAAAAAACCAACAACCGGTCTGAAATATTAGGAATAGAGAGGCCCAGCCTCGCCATGCCTGCACCATCGGACAGGGCACACTGCAGGTAATCAAAATTTTATTTAAAATTAGAGAACACTCAAAAATAAACAATAGAATATGCTTGAGTTTTTGTCATGACATAGAAAAATGCTTCCGATTACACGTAAAACCTTCGAGTGTTACCCCAACGAAGTATATGCTCGGCAGCCAGTCGAAGCGCTTTGACAAGCACCGCTCTCTCCAGGTGGCCGGGGCAGGAGGTAGGCTGCGGACATCCCTGTAGGGAGGTGTGGTCGTCCTACTCAGAGTGACGAGCTTTCTTCTTGTTGTGGCTCTCGATGGCCCTTCTGAGAGCTTCGTCCTGGATGAGGTCGGACATTCTCACGTCTCTGTGGCTACAGCCGATTTTGGGGCAACTGTAAAGGATGAGAGGGTCACTTAGCATTGATGCCTTCAGCATAGGCTTCTCTCACTTGCTAAGTATTTCAGTGAAGACATCTGACCCCAAGGGAGCACGTCTGGGGAATCAGGACTGATGCGTACTCACTCATTTAGTCCCCTGAGCACCGACCGGAGTCAGGCCCTTCTGGGTGCTCGGGGCACAGGCCATGGCCAAGCAGGGCCCACTTCATGGTGCCCACCTTCTAGGGAGGGACACAGATAATCACTGAGTCACCAAAGAGTGCCTGCTGTACGTTTACTCGCGTTAAGTGCTCTGAAGGAAAGGAAGCAGGTCAAGGGAGAGGGTGTGGGGCGAGGCTTCTCCAGCTGGATCAGGGCAAGCCCCGCCAAGCAGGTCTTATCTAGAACAAGCACTGTGTGGGGCCCCGGCAGAGGCGGGACCCCAGGACGCAGTAGCCTGGTGGCCTGGAGTGGAAGAGCAAGGTCAACACGGCTGAAACGCCCAGGGCTACAGGGAGGGCATTCGGAGAGGAGGTCCCAGGGTGGGTGGGTGGGGGTGTTGGATTTTATTTTATTTTTTATGTAATTTTTAAAAACTGTTTATTTTTGAGAGAGAGAAACGGAGCACAAGTGGGGGATGGGCAGAGAGAGGGAGACACAGAACTGGAAGTAGGTTCCAGGCTCCGAGCTGCCAGCACAGAGCCTGGTGCGGGGCTCGAATCCACCAACTGCGAGATCATGACCTAAGGTGAAGTCAGACCAGGCGCCCCTGGATTTTAGGTTAAATAAAGAGAACACCCTGGCGAGTTTGAGATGGGGGAGGGATGCCATTTGGTTTCTGTTTAGAACACATGGCTGTGGCTGCTTAGTGCACAAGATGGGTGGCGTGGACGCAGGGAAAACTGGGGGCCCCGCGGCGGTCTGGGCGAGAGGGCCGTGTGGCCGAGGCTGGTGGCAGCGGTCAGACTCGGGGCAGAAGTGGAAACAGAACCTCTAGGACTTGCTGTTGGGTCAGAGGCAGCGTGGAAGGGTAGAGAAGGGCCGAGTTTTGTCAGAGCTTGCTCCCCCCCCCCCCCCCCCCCCCCCCGCTGATGGGCAGCTGGCGGGCCCTTCCTCTCTAAGGAGAAGGCCTGGAAAACCAGCCGGGGACGGAGCCAAGAGACCCGCTGGCATCTGTTGCGTCTGCCATGCCCACTCGTCCCTCCTGGAGGAGAGGCTGCGTGGGCTGGTGGAGACTCGGGGGGTGGGGGGGTCTGTGGCCAAAGAGAGCAGCGCGTGAGTCACCCCTGGTGGGGGAGGTGCTTGAGGCCACAGCTGTGTTTGCACGTGGTCTCCTCTGGCCATGGGCTGCGTGAAGTCACTGGCTTCTTCTCGGCGTGAACCAGACTTTGGTAGGGTAGCATGCCCCTTGTCTGGAGTGAAGGTGACCTGGTTTTGAATTTGGCCGACATCTACTAGCTTTCTGAGCGTCTCTCCCCTCAGATTTGAAGTGGGGGCAGAATTCCTATTTCCCAGGGCTGCGGGCAACTCCATGCCTAGCATCCCTGATCATCATACTTCTGACACATTCTACTTATTTTTTGTTTTATTTTATTTAAAAAATTTTAATTTAATTTTTAAAAATATTTTATTTTATTTTATAGAGAGTGAGTGAGTGGGGTCGAGAGGCAGAGGGGGAGAGAGAGAGAATCCCACCCACCATCCTGGGATCATGACCTGAGCCGAAATCAAGAGCTGGAAACTCAACCAACGAGCCACCCAGGCGCCCGTCTTCCATACATTTTAAAGTTGCTGATCTCTCTGTCTCTTGCATATACCTACTGTATACACGCACGCATCCGTGCATGCATTTGACTTTCTGTGTGATCCACCCTGTGCTGGGTTCTAAGCACCCAGCTGTGAAATACAAATACAGGTTCCTGCCCACCCAGGGCTCCAGCCCAGTGGCCTGAGACAAGTCTCCGAAAAGCACAGGTATATTAAGACACAACATAACAGCTACAAGACAAGACCAAAAATAACAAATACAAGAAAAAAGACATAAACCAGAAGGGGAAGAAAGTTGATAGCGGGAACTCGTTTGTCCAGTAGGAGGAAGCCCAGCTGTGCACCATGAAGGAGAAATGTCCTGGCTTGTGCTTTCTGGACCAAGGCGGCTTCATATAAGAAGTAGCAAAGAAGTGTAATGGATAATATGCTTGCTAACAATATGTATTTTTAAAAACACTGAAATGGGCTCCAGAGGGGCAGGTACATGTGCTAAAACGTGGTTATAAAAAGGCCCTCACGGGAGACAGGATCGGGGCGATCTGCCCAGGGATGCCTCCTTCGGACGACTTGGCTTTGTGTTAGAGTAAGGACTGGAGGCACTGGAGAGAAGTCTCACACTGGTTTCTCAAAGTGAACTGTCTCTTTAACCGTGAAAGCCAACAGCTGAGATTATGAGGATACAGACACTTTCACGACACACTCAAAGCAGGTCCCTGGGATGACATGTGCCGGGGTCACCCTCGCTTCATACTGACCGACGCCGGTGACAGTTCACGGCGGGCCTGGGGCCCTCCCCGCTTCCCAGAACCAAATCTTCAGCACCGACAGCCGGACCGTGAATAAGCGTGGAGGGGGACGGGGAGGCTGAGGCGGGGAGGACTTCTGGTGACATCAGGGGCCCTGGCGGTAAGTGCGAGGACTCTGAGAATGTCTGATGGGATCAACCGCACACTCACTGCCAAGCCTGCAGGCACATTCCTCTCAATGGGACGATGGATGAGCCCAGGGTGACCTATGTCCAACAGAATTCTGACCTCACTCTGGGGATCGACTCTGGGGACAGAGGCATTAGCCAAAAAGCCCTCCCAAGGGGGACCTGATGGCTTTTTGACACGAGTACAGGCTCAAGAGTGAAAGAGACGTGGGCTCAAGTCTCCTGGCTGTGACCCTCTGGGCAGGTGGCTTTAATTCCTGTGGCCCAGTTTTTTATTCCATGAAGATGAGCTGGCGTGTAGGGTCGTTGTGAGTAGTAAGCAGGATGATGTATGATGAGGGCTACGGACTTGGCTCAGGTACCACCCAGTGTCTGCCCCAGTCCACGGCCTCAGCTCCCAGGAAGCCTGTGGGGAGGAGACAGCCCACTGACGACACGGGCATGCCATGGCGCAGGGGGCGCTGTGGCAGCGTCAGCGAGGGGGCACTCTGCCCAGCACGACTGAGCGCTCAGGGGAGATTTCCTGGAGGAGAGGCTGATGCAGGAGCTGGGGGAGAACCCTGCGTCTCACCCCCCCTCAAATAAACAAACACAGGTTTTTAAGCTACAAAGGATGAGATGAGGCCGTAATGACGTGACACTGAATCAGGGCGCTCCTTCTCTGGAGAAATAACACTCCATGGAAGCATGAGTTCATTAATCCCCAGGACATCCTGGTGAGCAAGACAGGTGTGGCAATACCCAATCCTAAGCTCTGGCGTCACTGCTGTGCAGAAGTCAGACTTGCAGGCCTCAAAGGAGAGGCTGGGTCCTGAACTCGGGTCACTGAGAGGGCAGGACATGCTACACAGCAGTGCGCAGGCATGCAAGTGCGTACTGCCCAAACAGAGTGCGCACCTCAGGGGTCCCAGAAGGTGGCAGGGAACCCTGGCCTCAGTCTCGGCTCAAAAGTAACAAGACTGTGAGTCCTGTGAGCTCTCAGATCTGGACCCCAAGAATTCCAGGGTCCGAGGCGGCTCTCGAAAGAGGTCTGCGGATATCTCTGAAAGTCTGAGTGGGATGAATTCCCATCATACCTAAACACACCGAGTCACTCTGTCCTACGACCTCTGAGTCTCGAATAATGTGTCACTGGGCAGTGAGGTAAGTAGTAACAACACCGCCGGCCTCGACCTTTATAACCCGACTGCTGTTTGTTTAGCGTTCTGCAGTTCAGAAGGAGCTTTCTCTTAAGTGGTTTGCTTCTCTCCACTGCCAAGAAATGTCCTGGTCCAGACCTAGATTGGAATTTCCCCACTGTTTCTTTAATCCTAAAATTCCATGGGATGTTGATGTTATTTCTACTCCGCGGATGAAGAAATTGAGGCCCTAGGAGGTTAAATGGCCTGTTGGCCAGTGGAGAAATAGGGACTGCAGTGCTCTTCGGCGACACACTGCCAGTGAACTGGATTTTATTCTACGTGCTGCTCAGTGTGACTGTTGGTTAAACACGGTTCCTGTTCTCAAACGAAAAAAGGAAAGAAATGACTGTGGAACACTGGAAATACGTCGTTAATAGGAGAATCGTAAGGCGGCTTTGACAGTAACAACACACACGGCCCAATTATTCAGGAAGCTGTTTCAATGACTGTACTTCGTGAGGGCTACAGTCTCCGCGATTTTATTCTGACTCAAGCCGGGGGAGAGAGGTCTTCCCAGAGACAGAAGCAAGGACAGGAAAATTCGGTCAGCGCCCCGTAATGAAACGTACTGGAGCTCCAGTCTGACAAAACATTAACTGAACCTTCTAGGAGGAAGAACTGAGGTGTCTCAAGCTGGATGTGTCACGGACCTTTTTTAAACACAGGGGACCCAGGACTGCTCAGCACGCTCACATGCATCATGGGAAATGACACTGCTTCATGCTCGCGCGGGAAGCTGATGGGGAGACCCGGAAGTGTCACGTGCTGCTCCCGTGATATGCAGCCCCCCATCTTCTTCCGCCCTCGCCTGGCTACACTCTCAGACGGCTGCACTGGGGTCTTCTTCCTCTAAATCTCTTTTCATTAATGAGGGAAGCGCCTTTCTGAAGGTCTGAGGCGGGTGCTGAGGAGGGGGGTGTGAGGTGAGCAGGGCAGGGCTGGCCTGGTGCATGTGCCCAGAGCTGCCCCTGTGGGGCAGGTGAGTGGGTTTGGCTCCCTTGTACCAATAACCCCATGACGACACCCTGAGCTCAGGCCTCTCTCTCTGGTTCAAGACACCACATTTTTTCTTTTTTTAAATTTATTTCTGAGAGAGAGAGAGAGGCAGCATGAGCAGGGGAGGGTCAGAGAGAGAGAGGGAGACACAGAATCTGAAACAGGCTCCAGGCTCTGAGCTGGCTGTCAGCGCAGAGCCCGATGCGGGGCTCGAACCCACAAACTGTGAGATCATGACCTGAGCTGAAGTCGGCCACCCAACCGACCGAGCCACCCAGGTGCCCCCAAGACGTCATGTTTTCTGCACCTCCTGCCTGGCCACTCCAAACGGCGGTGTCGCTAGGACCTCAAGCTTATAGCATGACCCCAACTGTGCCTCTCACAATCCCTTCGAGATGTGTTCTTGCTCCCGTCCTCTCAGTTGGCTAATGATCCCCCACCCCCCCCCAGCTTCTGGACACTTGGTTTAGAAATGACAGTCATCCACTCCTCTTCCTCCCTTCAACGCTCTGTTGCCAAACCCGGACAGCTCTGCCTCCATGATGGCCCGTTCTCGTTCCCGTGATCCATGACTCTTGCCTCAGGCTCCCATCACTGTAACTTAATCTCCTGCAAACGCATCCTCACTGACACTGTCACCTCACGCCTTTTTAGCCCATCCCTTGAACTGCCCTGGAGTAACTTCCCAAACCCCAGCTTGGCTCCCTCCGCTTATTCCCTCGACGCCCTGCAGCGCGGTCTCATGCCCAGAAACGACGGCAGCAAGACCGAGGATGGCGGCGGCGGCGGGGATGGTGCTGGTGTTTACTGTCTTGCCCCGGACCAGGGGCTTTAAAGTACTTCACACGGATCATATTCAAATTTCAAACATACCAGTGAGGCAATTACAACTAGTATCACCAGTTTATAGATGAGGAAACTGATGAAATCCCGACCCTTCACGCTCTACGAGAATCTCTCCACCACTCTCCGTAGTGTTGCTGTCCACAGCAGTCTTCTATTTCCCCTCGAACATACAGTAACAACCGTTCCGTCCGATCACTAAGAAGGACAGGCTCTGGGTGGGGCAGGCCTCTTGGCTAGAAGGCCTCTTCACCATTCTCTGAAGCCCTTCTCATTCGGGGTGCCTGGGTGGCTCAGTCGGTTGAGCATCCGACATTGGCTCAGGTCGTGATCTCGCGGTTCGAGAGTTCGAGCCCCGCAGTGGGCCTGTTGCTGTCAGCACAGAGCCTGCTTTGGATCCTCTGTCCCCTCTCTCTCTCTCTGCCCCTTCCCTGCTCACACTCTCTCAAAAAGAAATAAAAAAACCCCTGAAATCCTTCTCATTTTTTCAAGGCCCAGTAAAAACACTACCTTCTCTGTAAACTTCCCACACTTCTTCCACTTGGACTTAATTGTTATTATTATGAAGTTATGAGAATCTGCAGAATTTGCCCTAAGTTATAGAGAGGTGTGACAGAAAAAAGAAGCTTCTCTAGATGACAAATGTTACTCAAGTGCTTCCAAATAGCATGTACAATTCAAAAGAAAAAAAAAGCCAAAGGATATTAGAAAGTCAAATAGACAATTAAGAAGATCCATTTAAATGTGAGCAGGGTCTTGGCGTCCCTACCGCCATCCTGGGGCTCGTGAGAAATGCCCCTTGGTATCAGTGGCTGCCCCTTTCCAAATATGACTCTGGGGGAAGGTCACAAACTTTTAAAAAAAAAGGAGAGCTGCAAAATGGAACTATCTGGGAATATCTATTCTTAGCAATTATCGTTTTAAGAAATCAATAGTTTGTTTTCCTGAGAATGAACACAGAAAAAAAGTTCAGTTGAAAGGGAAGGCTCAGAGGTTGGGAAGCGAAAGGAACTCATATTCACAGGGAAGCTGGAAGGTTGGCTGGGGAAGGTGCCTTGGGAAATACAAGGTCTCGACTGGGACTCAAACATGTACTTGACCGTTCTCAGTTTTGCAACCAGTAGCCCATTCTTCTAGAATAAATACGGTACACGACTTGACTTAATGACCATCAAGATTAGGTATGGTCTCAAATACCCGATCTCTGAGTCCATGCCCACAGGAGGAGAGGTGGGGAAATTCCAATTCTGGGTCTGGACCAGCAAATTTCTGGGTGATGGAGAAGGGAGCTCCACTTCAAAGTGACTGTTATCAAAAGTCCATTGAGACCTGGTCACACCTGCAATTCCATTCCTAGGACAAACCTGTGATAAGGGCATGAGAAACGCCAGACTGAATTAGAGCCTGTCAGCCAACTCAGGATCCGGGTTATCACAGGGGCAGAGCCATGGTCCTTCCAGGCTGAGCACCAGAAGGGCAGGAATGTGCAGGCGGGGGGGTAGAAACATACATAAAATAGGTGTAACAGGAAGCTTCTCCGAACATTCCAATTAAGAAAAGAATTCTCATTGGAGCGATCCAAAAATGTGCTTGAACTATTTAAGTAATTAAAGATACGAAAGGTTTTCCCTGACAATTGAATCTTGATCAGACCTCTGGATACAAATCTTCTCTCGGAACATTTTAAACAAATTATCTGTACTGCAGGATGCAAAAAAAAAAAAATCCCAAAACACCCAAAAAACAAAAAACAAACAAACAGAACACCTGCCATTCCTTCTTGTGTAAGTATACACGGAAAGGGAAAAAGAAATCTTTCACCATCAGAGTTCTCCTTTATTTCTTTTCAGGCTATAGCACAATTTCATAAAAATTCCTATCACTTGAGGCGCATGGGTGGCTTAGTCGGTTAACTGACCTACTTCGGCTCAGGTCAGGATCTCACGGTTAGTGGGTTTGAGCCCCCTGTGTGGCTCTGTGCTGACAGCCAGCTCAGAGCCTGGAGCCTGTTTCCGATTCGGTGTCTCCCTCTCCCTCTCTGACCCTCTCCTGCTCACGCTGTCTCTCTCTCTCTCAGAAATAAAGAAAACATTAGAAAAAAAAAATTCCTATCACTTAATGATGCGCATTTCACCCGATTCTTTCTTCTCCTGTTTCGAAGGTGTGGCTGAAATTTCTTTAGCTTCTTCCTGAACAGACTACTAACTTTTCCGTCATGCATTGTTTTTCCAGAAAGCCATTTTTCATGTTTATACTATGAGAGAGGTGAATGGGCTTGGGGGGGGGGGGGCATTTAAGTATCTTTTCCTCTAGCGTGAGCACACCACCTCCGACCGCCCGCCACCAGGAAGGCTCACTTCCCTTCCTGCGTCGACTCACCAGGCCTTTTTCTTCCGCCTGTGCTTGGACTCAATCATGCGAACAATGGCTTCCTCTTCATAGGTGTGGCCACACACTTTATTTTTCACTGGTTTCTTCATTTCCACCTGCAATCAAGGAGGCATTCAACTTTCAGGAATGATAATGATCCACTTCCAGTAACTTCTCCAAGTCACCAAGTTATTTCACGCTGTTTTTTCCTCACCTTGGGCCCTCCTATGTTTAACCTCCCCATCTCATGTCTTTAGATAATTATTAGGGCAGATGGCGACAGAGGAAAAGGCAGGGAGACCGTGGCTCCAAGGTCAGCTGGCCTGTGGGTCAAGAATTTTTTCCTTGATCCCTCCGGGCAAGGGTGACTGCAAAGTCCTGCCAGCCCGGGAGCCTCCCACACATCTTCTGGGACCTCATCACTTTCCTTTCCTCCCTCCTTACCCTGGACGTGAGATCAAGTTAGAAAGCAAACAGAAGTCTTTTGCATCTTCGTCCTTCTGAGAAGGAGGAGAAGACGACGGTACCTGCGTGATGGGGCAGATGAAGTTGGTCTGGCTTTGGGTCACAATCATATCTTCATCAACTCCTTCTGTTCCATCAGCCTCTCTGTCGGCTTGAAGACCATCTAGAGGGAAAAAGGGAAGTCGCTGAGCCTCGCTGGTCTAACACTGTGCCAAGGACAGGAAGGAATGGAAGGAAGGAGGCTAACCATTTCCCAGTGTCTGTTGGGAACCCTGCTAGGCACCTGGATGTGCGTTAACTCTTTCGCTCTTAAAAGAATCCTGTGGGATAGGTAGGATCCTGCCCATGTTTGATAAGGACACGGACTGGGAGCAGTGAAATCACTTTTTCAAAATGACGGAGAAATAATTTCTGAGGGAGTTCTGCCCAGTGATCAAGAGTGTGGCTTTGAACTCAGAGGGACCTGGTTATCTCTTTCAAAGAACTTCCAGCTGCGGGACCTTGGGCTAGCAAGACCTTTTTTGCAAGCCTCTACTTTATGGCTCTGTTGCAAAGATGAAAAGAGATGGAGAATGTAGTACGCTTTGCACAGGCCCCCCGGCATGAGGAAACATTCAACAAATCGTAACTAGGGTTAGGGAGCTCAGGGGTTCTCAGACCTCTAGGTCTGAGAACACTTTATACTTTTAGAAATTACTGAAGACCCCATAACATTTGGAGTTATAGTTATCAATATTTGCCATAGTAGATATTAAGACTGAGGATTTAAACAATATACATTTATTAATTCATTAAAAAAAAAAAAAGTAACTCCAGGGGTGCCTGGCTGGCTCAGCTGGGGGGAGCATGTGACTACTGATCTCGGGGTCATGAGTTTGGGCCTCACGTTGGGTGTAGAGACTACTTACATAAATACAACTTAAGTAATTATATTTCCAGAACAACAGAAAAAGGGTTAGAGACAAAAGGTGGCATTATTTTTACATTTTTGAAAGTATCTATACTGTTTGGCTTAAGAGAAGATAGTTGGACTTTGATATGTGTGTATGCATCTAGTCTGTTGTGATATACACTTATGGAAAGACAGAGAGTGAAAAAGATAAGTGACATCTTAGTATTACTATGAAGATAGTTTTGACCTCATGGGTGCCCAGAAAGGCTCTCGGAGAACCCTCGGGGTCCCTGGCCCCCACTCTGAGAACACATGCCTGGGAGGGCTGCCTTTGGGTAGCTTCTTTGACTCTGGAATCTACGTTCTGTTCATTTCATCACACTTGCCCCTCACTGAGCTGTTGGATGGCTTCTGAATAGCACAATACGACTAAGCCTCTCACGTGAAAGCTTTTCTTTCTAGAGAAGGGAGACGTCATTTTGTGCAAACATCAAAGATCAATAGCTTTTTAAACCCAAGTGTTGACAGTGCTTTCCTTCCTCTTTCCTCCCCCCACTCCCTTTCCGGTCCTCACTCTCTTCTCCCTTCCCTTCCTTCTTCATTCTGGCAAAATGACATCGACATTAAAAATTGCTTTGTTTTTACTGTGTGAGGGGAACCCTGTGTCAGGTTCGGAAGGGCCTGCACCTCATTCAGTTCTTAGAACTAACGACCTTGGCCTCCCACCTCTGCCAGATGGAGAGTCTGTCCAGAAAAGCACTACTGGGGGCCGGAAAAGAGCCACAGGGGGCTTGTTCAAGGTTACCCAGTGAACTAATGGCTGCCACCCAGGGATTCTGCCTTCAATTACTCTGGGTTTTTTTGTTTTTTGTTTTTTAGTAGGGATTTCACCTTGTTTTAGAAGACTACTGCTATTTGTACGCCAGCCTGTATTTTCCTAGAGAAATGTCCCTCAAAGCAGCTCTCATTCCTTGAAGAAGGCAAGTGGAGACCTCGGAGCTTAGGGCTTCCCAGGCAGAGCATTTTTAACCATTGGCTCTGAAGGTACAGAGCCTGGGGCCTTCTAACTTGCCAAGGACCTGTGAAAATGTCTGAGACCTTGAAGATTATTTGTTGGCTTCAAAACAAGATAGCACCAGAGCTGAATTAATAACTGATAAAGGTCTACAAAATGTAATGTTAGGTTAACTTCATTAATTGCTGACTTGGCGATCAAAAATATTTCATTTGGAAGCAATATGTAGGCTGGATTTAGGTTTTAACTTCATAATTCCCAAGTATGCTAGGATAACTTCTGATAAATTAATAGACAATTATGAGTTACCTGTAACCAACCTATTTCCAAAGAAAAACCATGAAAATATAAAAAAAAATTCTGTCAGCAATAAAATTATATTTAATGTGAAGGCTGCCATATTTTAGTATGTCTGCTGAGATGTGGGATGGGACCAGTGAAGGGGTTGTGTCCAGGGCCTGTTGGTATTCACGGAACCAGAGTTAGATTCTTAAAGGAGTCCTTTATCAACCCAGTGATTGCTCACCATGGCTCAGGAAAGTTGGACAAGTAGGAAGAAAAGTCTAGGAGCAGAGCTAAGAACATTCTGTCTCTTTAATTCACTTCCCTCTTCCTGTGGGCAGCTCCTGCCAATTTCTGATTGCGCACTGGATAGTCAAAATGAAGGTCTCTCTTTGTCCATTTCTTACAGGGCTCATTCGGAACCGATAGCAGTATAAACTGTATGTGTTATACTGTGGAATTCACCAGAAAATCTGTGAGATGAATAATAGAGTTCAGCCAACGTGAAAGACTGTGGGTGTGTTTTCTATTTTTAAATTTCAAAAGGTAGAGGAAGCAAGAAAGCACCACTCAAATGCAATGCCGACCACTAAGGAAGGCTCAGTGGGGAACTCAGAAACTGTAGGTGGCTATCAACCTCTGTGATCACGACAGAAGGTAACAAAAGTAAGACTGAGGAAGAATGCCATGTGGTGAGTAATAGCCCACGGACTGAGAGTCTAAAAAGAGAAAGATTCTCAAGAGCTAAACTTCTCTTGAGACAGAACATTTCCTCACCCGAAATCTTTATTTATAGAAAGTGATATGAGTGTTGGGATGTGCAATGTGCTAACAGAAGGTCATATCTGGCAATAAATATCAGTCACACTAATTTAGCTGATCCAAAGATAAAACTTTAAAAAAAAAAAATTTTTTTTTTAAAGTTTTATTTATTTTGAGAGAGAGAGAGGGTCGGGGGGAGAGAAGGAAAGAAAGAGAGAGCATGAGCAGGGGAGGGGCAGAGAGAAAGAGGGAGAAAGAGAATCCCAAGCAGGCTCCACATTGTCAGTGCAGAGCCTGACATGGGGTTCAAACTCACAAACTGTGAGATCATGACCTGAGCCGAAATCAAGAGTCGGATGCTTAACCAACTGAGCTGGTCTGGGGCTCCTAAAACTTTTGGATAAGCTTCTAAAAGGAAGACCAGAGAGAAAAATATAGATCATCTACTGGAACCACATAAGTCTGAAAACTGGGGTTATTGATCCTAATCCTCTCATACACTGGAGAAATCTGAAATCTAAAGACATTCTAGATTTTGTTCAAAGATAGGCAGGGAATTAGGCAGATTTTGTTCAAAGATAGGCAGTGTTTGGTTCTCGTTTTTTGGCCTGATTACTGTGAATACTAAAACCAGTTTATAGGTTTTGGGAGCCACCCTTTCCTCCCCCAGATTATTATTTTACTAACAGTTGCACCTCAAGTTTACTGACCGCTACATAGTAGCTACCGTGCTAAGCACTTTATATACATTATTGCATTTAATGATGCAATCTTCACAAAATACCCCTGAAGAACAATTTTATTGTTATTATTCCCCTTGTATAGACAAGAGAATTTAAGCCCCACAATGTTTTTTAAGTTTATTTATTTTTGAGAGTGGAGGAGAGGCAGAGAGAGAGGGAGAGAGTCCCAAGCAGGCTCTGCACCGCCGGCGTGGCAGGGCTTGATCCCACGAACCTTGAGATCATGAGCTGAAACCGAGTCAGATGATTAACTGAGCCACCCAGGCACCCCAAGCCCCACAATGGTTATACAGCAAAAGTAGGAAAATAGCAATCTTATAATAAAGAAATAAGTGGATTAAACTGATTTAATCATTATTAAAGAGACCACTAAAGTTTTCCTTATTATAAAGAAAAGAACAAGAACATCAGTCATATTGCATTCTATCTACACACGCCGGGTATGTTGGGAGAAGGATAGGCCAGCTGTCAACTTGTGGTCCACTGGGCAAATCTCAAACCCAGCCCTTCCTCCATGCCTGGGCCCAGGGCGCCCCAGCGCTGTGCTGAGGGAAGAAGTGCAGACAGGAGCTCCCTTCCAGAGCACCCAGAAGGGACGTGTCAGGGTATGAGGTAGAAACCCGAATGGGATGTCTTTGGGTGTCAAAAAACGAACATGAAAAGGAAAGAGAAGTCATGGAAATGCTTCAGTGGTAATTATGTGAACAATCCAGGAATTCCAAAAGTCTGTGAATATTCCCTGGTGTGGTAAAGTTAGGGGGTGGGGAGGGCACACTGTTGAACTCCAAGATGTGGGCTTGTGGTTAGTGAGCTCTGACGGGGAGTGAGGAGCCAAGCAGCTCTGCCTTCGGCCTTCCCCAGTCAGCCATCATCCTTCTAGATGCTCTTGGAATTACTTATTCACTTTCCTTTGTTCCTCACATCTGAACTCCTGGTGAGTTCTGGTGACTGGTTCTAAACTACAGCCCCTAAACACAAATCTAGCTGCTGTTCTCGATTCCAACCATCTCCTAGCCCAAACCACCATGGCCTCGCGCCCAGACCTCTGCAGCAGCCTCCCTCCTAGATCTCTGCTTTGACAAGGGTCACGATGCTCCCGTGACCAACTGGCGTGCACAGCCAACCTCCCTGAGCAGTCTCCCGCTCACCCACCACACTTGACTCACACTCGGCTTTTCTCGGTTTCTGGAACATGCCACGCTCTTTCCCATCTTTGGGCCTTTACACTAACCTGACTGGAATGTTCCTTTTCCTGATCTTTGCTTTTCCGACTCCTTCTTGTCATTTTAAAATGTCAATTTAAATGCTATCTCTCTGGAGAGGCTTTCTCTACTGTCCCGAGCTAAAAGAGGCCACCCAAGCGTGCTCTGTCACATTACCCGGATGTGACTGTGCACTGCACATATTTGCAACGTGCCGCTTTCTGGTATTTCCCTCCCCACCCCCCACTCCCTGTTCTCTTCCAGGAA